CCCCTCAAAGTTACGTTCACATCTTAGTGAAGATTGGTTTCTTTCTACAACTCTAATCACGGTTTACTCATTATAAGTGTACAGCAATATTACACGTCAAGATAACTTTAAAAGTTCAGTTTATTCAATTAACCAAGAGAATTATATCTTACAATATACCTTGAGTTTACAGAGACGATATTACGTAACAGTATTATTACCTATTCTTACCACTTCTAAAGCGCTGGAAGTGGATAGGACACACATTGAGGAAAGCACCCAACTGTGTCACAAGGCAAGCCCTCACATGGAATCCTCAAGTCCAAAAAAAGAGGAAGACCAAAGAATACATTACGTCGAGAAATAGAGAGAGGCATGAGAAGAATGAACAACAATTGAATAGAACTAGAAATGAAGGCGGTGGACAGAGTGGGTTGGAGAATGCTGGTCGGCGTCCTATGCTCCATTGAGAGTATCAGGCGTAAATAAGTAAGTAACTTAACAAACATATTCATTCGTAAATTTTATCAGTCACTATTATTTTTATGATATTATTTTTCACCGCTGTTTATATTTGATGTATGAATCCTATAGTAATCATATCATGTTTCCCTAAAATAAAGAGAGAAGAAAATAAAACTATCCGAACTATCGTAATGGTACCATTTGAGCTTCCCAGTTATCATATTTGCGACAATTCATTGATTTACAGTGGTTATTTGAATCTTTTCAGTGTACATAAACTATATGATGTATGTTCATCCAATTGACGAGTCTGTAGTGGCATTGGGTCCTAACCACACAATCATCAAAGCTGAACACGAGATAATTGGAGAAATAGATGTTCAACATTTAATTCGGAGAAAAACCCAACGGTGGGGAAGGCGGGAACAATGAATTGAATTAATTCAAGTTGATCGTATGGCATGGCTCGGCCTTGCGGGCGCGGTCCCTGCTGAATGTTACCTTATATCTTTTATTCATATTAAATATAGTTCTATCTCTTGCCTAAGCTTGTTCTCCATCACGTATTGGTAATTGTTACGATGCAATGAGTTGGTGTAGACGATGACGTAACTTCCACGTAAGATCTTATAGATTAGGCAGTTATGTCATGACAAATCTACAATTTTAGAATTAGGTCTATTATTAGAGCAGTACTAATATCATAGTTAACCATAACTCCAAAAGTCTCAAATAGGGCGAAACACACATCATAGATTCCACTGTTTAATATTCACGACGAATTGTAAACATTTTATATGAAAATGTGTAAGTACACTCAGTTAACAGTCATAATTAGTCAGTTAGAAACAAATTTAAGAAAGGGATATTTATGTCAGTTAATTACCATTTTGAAAATAAACGGTTAGAAGGTTTTAATAAGTTGCCTAACCTGATACACGTCGGTATATGGTTGGATGTTTAATGCAATACTTTGGAAATGGTCAATTAATCAATCAATTGAACAGTGAATTAATGATTGAACAGTTAGTTACATAATTAAACTTTTTATTTAAATTATTTTTCTAGTATAATTAATGTATTTATAAGTGAAATATTTTAACTTTGCCGTTTAAATATTCATTAACATGGTTCAATATAGACTTTGGATGCACACTTCTGAGGAGTCTCATATTAGGACGAAACGGCCGTCCTGTGCTTCCAGGTTTTTAATAGTGATCTAACATTAATTAATTCGTGATCTCAATCAATAATTTTAGATATCAGAAGGGTTTTTGTGGATATTATGTTGATTTCAGTGGTTGAGATAATTAGTCAATTGAAGCTAGACCACCATGGAAAACCTGGAAGTACTAGACGTTCGTTTTGTTCTATTGTCGGTCTTCTCAGCAGCGCGCATCCACGATCATGCCTTGCAGTATTCGAACCCAAGGACTATCGGTTTCGTAAGCGAGCTCTTAATCACTAGACCACTGAGCTGGCCGGCATCCAACGGTGTTACTCTCTAGATATCTTTACATAGTCAATTCTGATAATTAGAAAGAAAACAAGTAGAAACAGTAAACTGATTTCAGCTAAATAAACTTTTTTCAGAAAACATCGAGTAATGGGAAATTGTTTCGTCCTTTCATATACGAGTCTTTAGGAGTGTATATATGTGTACTCACAACTACTCCAGCGATTGTGATCTAGACTTTCAGGCCTTTCAGCTGGAAACTGGCTTTTAAATAACTAGATCAAGACCTAGTTTTTTTCGTTTCTAAATTCAATCATTTCATGGTATTGAGCAACTGTGTTGATGGTGAGACTAGTAGCACTGATGTCATAATGCTAATTACATACCGAACAATCTTCATAAAACTTTTATACTAATATTAAATGGAATAATTTTCTAATTCTTTTTCAGTGAATAATCTATTAGGCTTTTTATCTAACAAAAGTATAGTTGTAGCTCGAAATATGTATGTACGATGTTTTAAACAGAGCTTATCGACTACATTGGTTAATATTGCGTAAATCTGAATCAAATAATTCCGACTTCGTGGTCTAAATTTATCGTAGGGTCTGTCTACCTTGAATTCTCTCTCACATGTGGGGCTGTGAGGTATGAGGTACACGACGTAGGTATATCAGTCTAGGGTGAACATATAACTAACCTGGGATAAAATCATTCAACAATAAACCAATACCGATTTTTTATACCATTATTATTGATTATGTAATCACTTCTAGGAATATCCTTGATGTTTTAGTCAGAAGGTTTGATCAATAGAGTATCAATGATGGTTGGCAGGTGAACATAAATTAACTGAACTTGATAATATGACAGGTTAAATATCGAACGAGTGATCAGAACGCTTGTGTGCTTCTCATAAGAAGCGAATACTATGGTTTCGACCTCAGATATGAAATTATAAACATATATTGAACTAGAACAAAACGCTTATCCCCCAATATTTCTTAATTTCCAGGTTAATGAAAATTTGTTATATAAACTTAAGAATTAGTGTACTGGGTTTGTGGAGATTACTGGATTTTCAGACACCATCTTATAGTGATCTTATTTAGACGATTGAAAGTCTGGAAGCGGTGAACAACTTTCATACTAGTATGGGAATCCTCATCAGTGTATGTTCACGAACCAACCTGAAATAGAATATGGGGGCTTCAGGTTTCACACTGAGCATCCAACATTTAAATTACTGAACCATCATCCACCGGTTTACATATCGAATTCCAATTGATTTTCAGTGTGGGCGTGGATGTGCACTAGTGAAGAGGTCCACACTAGGCGGGAATAAACTGTTTACTGTTTCCTGATTCTCAATCATTGTATAAGTAGTAAGGTCACTCTATGATGGAATCTACAATTGATCAATACTTTCTAATTTTCAAGAAATGTAAGATCACCCACAGATGTAATCTGTTTGAAAGATTCATCAATTGAATTGACTATGGTTGAATTCATGAGTCGATTAATGATAGACCACCATGAAAAACCTTGAGGTACCGGACTGTCACACACGCCAATCGAACCCAAGGCCTATTGGTGTCACGCACGAACGCTTAACCTCTAGACCACTGAACCGGTATCCAACGGTGTTAATGTTTAACTCTAACCAAATTCACGATATTACGCGACCGTCTATCATTGTCTTCAGAGAGTTACTTCATCACAACATATACGGTTGAAACGAAATGGCCGTCCAGTACTTCCAGGTTTTCTATGATGGTATAAATTTATATCAACTGATGAATTCAATCATTAAATTACTACAATCTCCACACACATCCCATTCTGAATTGACTATCTTCTCCATGGTGGTAAATTTCAAACAAACAAGAAAATATATTTCACTTCTGTTGAAAAAACAACACCAATAGAAATGACCTCATTTTAATTCATACACAACTCATTATTAATAGATTCGATGCACACGTTTAATTGTACTATATACTATGTAATGTATTTGTATGTATGTGTTATGAAGTGAATTTTGTTTACTTTCATGTCATTATTATTATTATTATTATTATTATTATTGATATTGTTGTCATGATCATCATCATCATCATCATCATATCCAGTAAATTGTCTAGGTTTTTTGACCTAATAAACACTATTCTATGATTACGAGTGATTTTGTTGTTGTTGTTGTTTAATGACTATTATTAAGATAGTCATACAAATTATCTATAAAAACGACCCATTCACCGTGTCTATGTCTATTAAATTTGGCATTCTACTAACAAAACAAAAACAACAACAACAACTAAACTGTATTATAAACAGATATTATTGAACAATTCGAGTATATAATAGAGAGGAAAGAAAAGAGTGAGAATAAAAGAAGTTAACGAAGAGACTCTATCTATAGGAGGCAACAATAAACTAAGGAGAAGAAAAAATATTTTCTTTTTAAAAAAAAAAGAACGAAAAAAGGAGAAAATAGGTTTTTTTTCTTTTCTAATGTTTGATTCCTTTAACCAATCCAACTGTAATGCTTTTTGATCTCCTATGATTATATGGTACATAATCGCTTATTCCTTCTCTCTCTCTCTCTCTTTTCTTCTTTTCCTTGTCCATTCGTGTAAAACAAACAGAAATTTTCTAATAGAGAAAATTAGTTAGACAATGTGATAGATAAACGGATAGAGAAGTGTTTAATGTTTATACTTAAAGGGGAGAACAAAAGGGTTTTACATGGAATAAGGAAATAACTAATATTAGGCATGTGTTAATACAATAATATTCTAAATGTTTTTATACATATATATACTACATAGACTTTCGAAAATTGACACCAATAATTTTTAGATCTGCTTATTATGAACAAGTGTGAAAGTATTCTATTGGTTAAAATTGTTATGTTTCATTCTATTTATTCATCCCCCTATCCATTTTAAAAAGGATTTAGTATCCAATCGTTTTAACATTTTTGTTGTGATGTTAATTTCATGTATATATATGTATGTGTGTATGTGAGAGTGTGTAAGAAAGAGAGAGAGAAAAAGAGAGTTAGTTATATAAAAATTACTAATGCGACACTGCTTTCAAATAAGTAAGATACAAATTGTACAGTAGTACTATTACAATTACAAATTATTATTATTATTACTATTGTCTTTATTACTATTATTAATCGTTATGTTAATTAGTCAAAAAACACCGAATTTATGCTTTCCTGATAAATCCCCATCAATGAATTTATCAACACAATTAAATAATTCAATCATTTTTAATTCAAATACTATGGAATCATATGATAAAAATAACCATGATGATATTGATGATGATAATGAGGATAATGATGACGATGATGAAGATGAGCCAAAATCATTAAATGTTGAAACATGTAAATCACAATTTATATTCAGTCGAAATAGACATAGTTCTAATGAATCTAATACAACGAAATCACCAATTTCATCATTTTTATCAACTCTACCAAACAGTAGTATGGCGTTTAGATCTCCATCCCATTTACTACAACCTAACATAAATATACAGTCATCGTTACCATTACTACCCCCAACATCATTACCATTCCCATTTCCTTCTGTCCCTCCGTTAAATAATTCATTATTTTGCAAAAATTCCACATCATTCTATACTACTCTAATGAATCAATTGGATCCAGACCAATTAAATGTTCTTATAAAAATGTTAAATGATACAGTTACAAATGATTTACTAAATAATAGCTCTTCAAATTTATCACTACCACCTACATCGATTTCAACATCAGCATTAGCTAATGCGGCGTTGCAATCAATGTTCAATAGCGCCATGTTTAATACAGAATCATCAGTAGCAATGAATTTATTTAATAATAAGTTTGATTCAGTAGAACATTTTGATATTTGTAATCATGTACAGAATGATTTGAAGAACAGTTTTAGTTCACACGATGATTATTATCATCATTATCTCCGTAATCAGTGGGATTCTCGATATTGTTCAAAAGATTATTTGAATGATCCTGCTAATTGTCCAGATAATATTGATAATAATAATAATAGTGGTAGTAATAATAATAATGTATTACTTATGATGTTAATGATGATGTTTATGAAAAGAAATGTTGATTCGTTGATATCAACACCTAATCAACTAAATAAGTCACCAACATTAACATTATCATCTGCGTCTGGACCCTCTACTTCCCCGTCATCATCGTCGCCATCGTCGACAAAAGGACTTACGACGATGACAACAACAACTACTACTACAGAAAACCAATTTATGAATGATCATATATTACACTGTGACAAATCTAGTCAACATCGTTATAATTTATTACATAATCCAAATTATTTAAACACTGGAGATGGATTGCAAAAATCTATGAAATATAACATAGTGGATGATCAAGAAAATTTAAAATTTAAATTAAATCATTTAAATATATTCCCAGAGAAATTAACTATTCGTGATATCGTTGATTCAACTGGTAGTAGTAAGAATAGTACCATGGTTAATACTACTATTACTACTACCACTACTACTTATAACAGTAGTCATAATAATAATAATAATAACAATAACAATAATGGTAATGGTTATCAGTCATCTAATCCATATATCATGAATGATTTATTAGAAAATGAATCAGATCAAATAGATTCACTAGTTCAACGAACTGAATTATTAGACTCTGATCTATGGAAACATTTTCATAGTATGACTACTGAAATGGTAATTACAAAATCAGGACGGTAAGTAATATATAGTATATATATGTGTGAAGTATTTTAATAAAAAAGATTTCATTCTTCACTTAACTATGTTAAATATCTTCACTATCGGTTCCATTACAAAACTATAAATGTCTATACTGATAAAATGGTTATACAGACATTAATCTGTATAAATTATTTGCATCATTAAGTGAGATATGATAAGTAAACGATGGAAACAAAAAAGACTCTGTTCCGTTAATAATTTGATTCTATCTGTTTCGAATGAAGAAATTTGACTTTTAAATTTACTATGATGTCATTTTATAATTGAATTCATGAATCAATTGAAGCTAGACTGCCATGGAAAATCTGGAAGCGCTGGACAGTCGTTTCGTCCTATTATGGAACTCCTCAGCAGTGCACATCCATGATCATGTCCTGCGGGATTCAAACCCAAGACCTATATTGATATGTTATCACTTATTTTTCTGATAGATTTATTTCACACAATAGTTTTCTGTTTGTGTGTATATAATTGTAGAGATGGTTGAATTTTAATTGAGTGTCTGAACTGATCGATGTTAGATCATCATGGAAAACCTGGAAAAATTATAAATTTCACAGTAAAAAAATGTATGAATCAATGTTTGTTAGTTGAAGGTATAGTCTATAAGGGAAAGTTTGTTATGATATAGGATCTCTATATAAAAGGAACTTCTATCATATAGTGTTACATTTAGAGACTATTTTTTTACTAAACAAAACAACATGAATTCATTTTCATGGAGTTTTGTTTTCTGAAATGGATCGTTTGGTCGTGTGGCTTTCATCGTTCTTTTGAACGACATCATCATAACAAACTTCAAATAGATTTTAGAGACTTTCATCCGAAGTTTGTGCTGATGATGTCGTTCAGAAAAAGGATGAAAGCTCCACGACCAAACAATCCAGCTCAGAGAATAAAACTCCATCAAAATCATCCACCTGAGCTACAAATCTTCACCATCTCACAATGAATTCAGTTTATCGTTTAAAAAAGAAAAGAAGAAATATGTATTACATAACATTTAGATCTTTCCGAAAATTTACATAAATCACATATGGTAACATGGATAAGTTGTAATTATAAAATTATTTCATACATAAGTTGATTCTTTAGTGTAATATAGCATAGTTTCTACTGAATAATTCTGTTTAACAATCTTATTAGAAACTAAACTGTTGGGAATTGTTTATTATTTAAAGTCTGATAAAAAAGATCAACTTTAAAATAAATAGATAAATGAACAGTACTGCTATTAAATACAATTAGTTAGATATCATGTCAGTCAGATAGTCAGTCAGTTACACCGTAGGACCAATTACATATATGCATCGATTAAAGTGGTCATACCTCATGAACACAACAAGATGAACACCGAATTCATAGAAGCAGTTAACTCAGTGGAGTTATATATAAAGAAAAGATTTTATGTAAGGATATAATACAGGAAGAAAGAATTAGTTCGTAGAAAGGAAGATATGGAGCCATTTTAATCCCTTAGTTTAAGGGAAGACAGAGAGTGTATACACCGATGCCATTGTGATCGATTCTGAGTCATATCACCAAGAGTCTCCAAACATTGGTTGCGATAGTCACGCGGACCCCAACCAAGTAGTCTGCATCTACCAACATGGCTCAGACTAGAAGTTAGTGACTTCAAGCACTGATGCCACGTTTCGCTTTGGCCGCCCCTAACTGAATAATGACAAGTATAAAAATTGTATTCTATTTTCCATAATACAGGATGAAAGAATTAGTTCGTAGAAACAAAGATATGAAGTAACTTTAATCTCATAGTTCAAAGGAAGACAGAACATATTTGTATCATGTTTTATTTATTTGAGCTTCGATAGACAGATAATTTCATGAGTCTTTTATGAAATTAATGAGGTCCAAAGTTAACAGATCAGTATTAAGTAGTTCACTGTTAATCTTCTCTTAAATTATACGATTAAATATATTTTGTATCTTTCTTTTTACGAACTAAATTTTTCTTTCTGTATTATATCCTGACATAAAATCTTTCCTTTATATATAACACCACTGAGTTAAGTGCTTCTATGAATCCGGTGTTCGTCTTGCTGTGCTAATGTGATGTGGCAACTTGGAACTATGTATGTATGTGCTTGGTCCTACGTTGTAACTGACTGATTGACTGATTGAGTTCATGTATTCTACATTGAATCAGTTTTCATTATAGCAAAACTTTAATTAATTTTATTAATAAATAATCAGTTTACTCTCAAATTACTTGTTTCTATGTATTACACGATTGTATGTTATAAAATTGTAAATTTTGTAGAAATAATGAATTCTGAAATACGAACCCAATACCTATCAGTCTCGCACGCGAGCGCTTAACCTCTACACCACTGAGAAGGTTGGCATCCAACGGTGTTAATGTTTAACTTCAACCAATTCACGAAACTGAGCGACACATTCACCATTGTGAGTTACTATATTACAACAGACTCATTTGGACTCCACTGGTCACGGATTCACACTAGAACTCTAGGATATACCTCTTGAATCCAGTCACTCGTGAGCAGGTGTTGAATAATATCAGAAGTGTTTTTGTGGATTTCAATGGTTGAGATCACAATAGGACGAAACGGCTGTTCAGTGCTTCCACGTTTTCCATGGTGATCTCATGATCTCAACCATTGAAATTACTATAATATCGACAAAACCCCTTCTGATATTAATTCTGAAATACTTAACAATTTAGCTTATTTTAATATGATGATGTAATAATAGATGGATTATGATTAATAATAAAATACAAGACAAACGTCTCTCATGTCATATACGATTCATCAAATGGTTGTTAATATTCACACTAGATCTCTATCATAATACCTTTCATTATGAATAATTTGTGATGAAAAATGAATATATCAGTGCAATCCACATAGAATTTATAGAACTTGATCAAAATTAAATAAAGAATATCATCAGCCATGTTGGTAGGTGTAGATTACCTGATTAGGATCCACGAGACATTAACAAACGATGGTTAGAGATCTTGAATGTCATGGCTCAAAATCGTTTGCAATAGTGCAGGTGCATTTGTGTTCTCCTAAATTATAATCTTCTGAATTCTTCATGTCTCCTTTTTCTCTTTTGAAATTTATTTCACGGGATTATACTCCTTGAATAACATCTTCAACCTCTAATCTTTCCGATTACTGCTTATACTCTTACTACCTCTACCACTATGGGATTTGAATCGACAACTGCATCTCTGTGCTAATGTGGTATGTCAACTCGAACTGACGTACGTACGTACGAACGAAGTTCTATATTGTGACTGACTGATCAGTAAAATCATTCAAATTTTCACATAATACATAATATTATGATCACTTAATTTTTTTTCTTTTTTGGCTTCATCAATTTGAATTCGATCGATTTTTTTTAAAATTACTAAAACATTTTAAATCTTTCAAATGATTGATTAATTGATTGATTGATTGATTGATTGATCGATCGAAATAAATAACTAAAAATAACTTTCCATATTTTGATGTAAAATAAACGAATATAAAACTAAGTGAGATCATTCTAAGATTTATTAGATACTTTAACTAAGCAACAGTTATCATTATCAATCATTTATGACATAATAGATGTATAATTATAAGACTACGTAATTACATATCCTATTTGATATATTTAGCTTTACTTATTAGTTTAGTAGATAATTCATTAAATATTTAAAGCAAAATTTATGTAGTCAGACTCACAGTGTGAAAGAATATCAGGTAGGATGAAACACCGTGTCTTGAATTCGATTGTTATAACTTGTAGTACAACATCATATCAAAGTAGTTCGTTCAGAATAGACATCATGTCAACAAAGACTAATCAATTACTGTTTTGAATAATAAATGGGAATTACAAATTTCTACCAGTAGGTTATTAATTTTATTTCAACTTTTCTCTCTTTCAATCCTTCTGGAATTGAATAAAAATAATTGCACCTTTTAGATTGACCTTATTTCATATACTGTCGAATACTAAGGAGGAGGATTAGAAAGTGATTCATCTTGATAAAGGAATCCTTAGCAATATTTATACACTGCACCACCTAGGATCGAACCTAGAACCTCCAGGTCTCTTGATGAATGCTTGACAGCTAAATCACTAGGTTGAAATTCAACAGTACAGATTTCAAGCTTCAATTTTTTAAATAGCCAAATAATTGACCAATATTATCGGTGACAGTTGTTTTAATCCTACGACACCTGCACTGTACGAGTCACGATATATGTTTGGAGACTCTTGGTGACATGGCTCAGAATTGATCACAATGGCGTCGGTGTATACACTCTCTGTCTTCCCGTAAACTAAGGTATTAAAATGGCTTCATATCTTTCTTTCTACGAACAAATCCTTTCTTCCTGTATTATATCCTTATACACAGTCTTCCTTTTATATATTACTACCATTGAAGTAACTACTTCTATGAATTTGGTGTTCATATTGTTGTGCTAATGGGGTATGGTAATTTAGACCGATGTATATATGTACTTGGTCCTACGTTGTAGCTGTCTGACTGACTGAGAGGATTAAATTATATTGTGAAATGTACGAAGTTAGAAAATATGAACAACCGGGTTTCGAATCATTGATAAAACGTCAATGCTTTTGGGCTCTTTACTACAACTGATGTTGAGAGAATTATAGACCTAGTCAATAGCAAGAAATCATCAGTACGAAATAGCTTGAATATGATTCAGTTTTTTAGGCTCTTTAATGATTAATATTGGATTAGGCTGAGACTTATCGTTCAAGCACATGTCGATTCGTGCTTATGTATATATTTCACATAATAAATAACATAAGGTTCTAGCTGACAAATAGTTAACTATATAATGAAATGTTGCTTATCTCTGTTATTGTCTTTATATTTCGCAAAAGATTAATAAAACGTTTGAATTTAGTAAATTTTGGCGAGACTATAATTTGTGGACAAATCAATCAGATTTAG